GTTAGCATGACAGCTTGTGAATTCAGGAGGAAATACTCACATTAAGATCCTGCAGGTACTGGAGAGCATAAACCAGGCCCAGTTTGCACAGAGCTAGAAAAACTGGAACCTGGGCGTCAGGACTGGCCTCAGCAGCCATGTCATAAAACCGTTTGGCTAGGTGGATGTCCTGCAGCAAAAAAAACATGGAAAATTTCAGAATTAGAAATCAAATTAACAACCACACTGACTTTGCTAAATGACAAAGCGCAAATTTATGACATGTTGAGAGCCAGGTGATGTTTAGTGAGTGCTCACCTGTTTGATACCCAGGCCTTTCTCATGCATGTAACCCAAGTTAAACATGGCCTGTGCGCTGTGCTGCTGCTCAGATGCCAACCTATAGTGAATGACAGCCGTCTCGTAGTCCACGTCCGTCCCGTAGCCATAGAAATGATAGTCTCCCAGTTTTATCCTTGCCACGGTGTAACCTTACAAGGACAATTACATGTGTAAGATTTGGTTTTATATGCAAACAGTCACGGCTAGAAATCTTCTGTGAACCAGCTTAGTGTTCACCACTCAGCATCTCACACTGATACACAAAGACAGGCTGAGCTCTATTATCATAAATTATGATGCATGTGACCCCAGAGAGAATCAGTGCACCCTCAGCAGCTATGGCTGCTCAGGCATTAGCCTGTTCCACTGCACTTAGATAATATATAGCTATGGAGGATGCATGAGACACACTGGAGCTGTGATGCTGGCTCCGACACGGTTGTTGATATTAAGTGCAACACAAACTATGTGCAGCGGTGTGTGTGTGCTGTAAATCGAGCTGGTTGTGCTGGCTGAGCATTGTAGTGAAATATCCCCATTCCTGAAGGAATGTGGAGTTTTGGTGCCACGTTAGTTACACCTGATAAAACCACAGTGGGGTCAAATTCTGTACAGCGCAATGAGACTTTCTTTGGTAACAGAACTGTGCTCAGCTAGCAGGAATTAGACATCCACAGCAGCACAGATTCAACCACAAAAGGAGCCAAAGTTTGACTAATAACTGTTTCACACAGCACAGCACAGCCAAGCAGA